GCCATTAACACTCGCTGGTTGGTGCGAAATGCATTCTGGGATACCCGGCTTCCTCAAGTTCGCACAAGTCACCTCTTGGTGCATCCTCGATAAAAGGGGCGGAGCAAGAACACATCCGAAGTGTACTTGGCTAGATGTGAACTTTGAATTGGAACTGATAACGTTTCACAAGTCCATAAGAACACAAGTACAGACAAGAACGCATATTGAGAAATGGTTTCCCATAGAGCTTCTGTATTGATCAGTGATTCTTAAACTTTTTTTTTGTCTTATGTACTACCAAAACAGATTTGTTTTAACACTTTATTATTCTGAATATTAGTTAACATTGATTAAAGGAATAGTTTGCCCAAAATGAAAATTTGCTGAAAATTTACTCACCCTCAGGTCATCCAAGATGTAGATGAGTTTGTTTCTTCATCGGAACAGATTTGGAGAAATTTAGCATCACATCACTTGCAAATCATCTCTGCAGTGAATGGGTGCCGTCAGAATGAGAGTCCAAACAGCTGATAAAAACATCACAATAATCCACAAGACTCGTGTCAATTATTACTCAATTATTGTTGCTTCTGGCTAAAATATGAGTCTATGATTCAAAAATATGATTCATAATAATGCTTTCTCCAGTGAAAAAGTCTCTCCCCGTTGTCCTCTCACATCAAAATCCACGGACATATTTGTTTTGGACTGTTTACGCTAGTAAACGGTGCTTGATCTGTGCATATTTCTCTTGTCAGATGAGACAACTTGGATAGAGGACTTGTATTTTAGCCAAAAGCAATGGTTTGAAGTTAAGAGCGTCTTAATGATGGATTTGTTTCTTATAAACTTGTAGCTTACAAACATTACTTGTTGATTATTGTGGTATTTTATCAGCTGTTTGAACTCATTCTGACGGCACCCATTCACTGCAGAGATCCATTGGTGAGGAAGTGATGTAATGCAAAATTTCTCCAAATGTCATCAGGAATTACCTAAAATCTAAACTGGGCAGTTGGATGCTTCACTGCAACAGTAGACGTAATAAAAATCTCTCTCTTTCCATCTTAATTTCCAGCATGTGGCACCACAGGAGCTGATAAAGGTTAAGAGTCTAACCGGACAGCTAAAGACAATGGCAACAGCTGCTCTGTTTTGAGGCACTGCTTACCAAATGGTCTCTGCATGTCTGTCTCATAGGAGAGATTGAAGGTTGAATTGCTGCCTGCATTAATGTCCTTGTCATCTTCAGTTTAGAGTTTGTTGTCTGCCGATGAGCAGCAGGAAGACTGACAATTTAATGAACATTGATTGCCTTTTATGCCTGATGTTTCTCTCATTATGTCATTGAGACAGAGCTCAGTACAGGTCAGTCTGATCCCTCTGTGCCGCACAGATGATGATGATAGATCATATCACAGATACACCTTAATTAAGCAGCCTGCGCTCACTCAATATTAGAAGCTAAATCAATACATTTGTATTCCAGAGCGCTAGCCATCCAAGTTAATCGAAATGTTATGACACAAATGTATTATGTGTGCCTCAAGCAAGGCCTGTAACTTGAAATAAACTAATAAATAAATGTACTGAAACAAATGCATTCACACAGGGTCTATTATTTTTATCGAAAATATGTACCAGTTCTATAAAATATTTCTGTAAAAAAAATATATATATATTTTTCAAGAGTTGGCAGAAATAGAAAATAATAGAAATTTCAAAATGTGGATTTTTTTAATTCATTAATTTATTATGTTTGGCAAGTGTCTTTTTGGACCTTATAGTACACGTTTATGTATGTTTAGAAATTATTTTTGTGTAATACATTTTTTATTTTTATATATATATATATATATATACAGTGGGTACGGAAAGT